GGGAAAGGCGTAGACAGGCCCGAGTTGCAGTGGACCACAAGTACCCTTGTGGGTTTAAGCACAGCTCAGATTACATATTGAGTATGGCAGTATTTGGTCAGAGACAATGTAAAAGTCATTAGCACTCTTGTGACTTTCTAGCTTCAAAGAACTCAGCCCCATGTGGAAAAGGAAGGCTCAAAATGGCTTGAGTGAAGATGGGGAAAAACTATCTACTTGGGCCGCATCACATGGAAAGCTCGACATCCTTCTTGAAACTCTCCTTCCCTAGCTCTTGAGATATCATTGTTCTCTGGTCCTTTTCCAGTTTTAATAAACCCTCTTTTTCTGACTTCTTCCTTTTCTACCAGTTACCAGGCTGTTTCCTAAGTATTTCTTTTTACTCAACACACTGTCTAGAGGGGTTGTCTTTCCCCATGCTTAACCTCACATAACATACTTTAAATACTTATATGACCCCCGAACTTACATACCCAGCCCCAACTGGTTTTCAGTTCTAGTCTTATTCTCCACTTGCAGTCAATGTTCTATTGATACTTTCAAATTCAAAATATCCAAAAATTGGGGTCATTTTCCATTTCTTTCCACTGGTTGCTTCTCCTAGTAGCAATCCTTGATAATAAGACAACCAGATCCTCATGTTAGAAAACTGTGTTCCAAATCCCTAAATCCTATAAATTTCCAGTGTTATTTAAATTTTTAAATTTCGTTCTTCCTCTCTAAATCCTCTGCCACTTGCCTAATTCAGTCCTTTTAATAAAATCTGACAGACTGGGAGCAGTCCTTGACTTTAGTAAGATCACATTCTGATAAAGGAGTTGGATGTGTAGAAAATTACAGTACGATTATATAATAAAAATATTTACAAAGTGCTAGAGTTCACAAAGGAAGAAGTAATTAACACCAGTGGTATGTATGAGACATAGTCTCTGATAGCTTTGATGAAATTATATTTGGGGTGGATCTTAGATGATGAATAGGGGAACTTTAGATACAGAAGGGAGATAAGGATATCACAAAAAGTACAGCTTATAAAAGGCAAAGACAGACCAGACTACATTTGAGGAATGTTATTAGAGATGAGGATCTTGAGATTACCATGCTAAGCGAAATAAGAGAGAGAACCATGATTTCACTCATATGTGGGATATAAAACTGAAAGCAACAAACAAACGTGACAAACAGAGACTCATAAACACAGACAGTGGATTAGTGATTATCAGAGGAAAAAAGGGGAGAGGTGTGGTAGATAGGGATAAAGAGGCTCAAATATTTAGTGACAGAAGGAAACACACAAGTGAACACACAATGCAATGTACATATGATGTATTACTAAATTGCACACTTGAAACCTATTTGATTTTATTAACCAATTTCGCTCTAATAATTTTAGTGAAAAAAAAAAAAAAAGAAAATCTAAGGCCAGATTATGAAGGGTCTTATATGCCATGCTAAGGAGGCTGTACTTAATTTTGGAGAGAGAAGGGAGGCTTTGAAAGACTTTAAACAGATGTATCATCGGGAGTTTGCCTTTTAGAAATATAAGTTTGTTATATCTCAAAGGAGTTCGAATAGTTTCCAACTTTAGGGGGTGTGCCTCCCCAGCAGGCACCTGGAAACTTTGAGGACATTATTTGTATGTCACAATAACTGAGCAGTGCTACTGGTATCGAGTAAATTCAGGCACGTTTATATCCTATATGCATGGAGCAGTCTCCCATAATGAAGAATATCCTTCCCCCAAAGACAATGAGATCTCCATTGGGAAACAATAAATTGTTAATATAGTAAACATTTATTATTAAGGTTTTTCAAAGACTGAACATTTAAAATATTTACACACCTAGTTTTAAATATAAACAGGAACAAATTCTTATTCAGTAAGCATAGGAAGTGATAAAAAGAAATTTGTCTAATTTGAGAGGGTTCTACTTCAAGTGATGGCCAGATAGCTCTTTCAGACAAGCCCTCCAACAGATAAAATCACAAATTTTGGGCAAAATGTAAAAATCAACTACCTGAAAGTAATGGACAGCAACCCAAAATAGGCTGATGCAGAGAAAGAATACTTAGAAAAAGAAAATAGCAGTGGGTGAGTTTCTCATTTTTATAGCTCTCAGCCTGAGGGCAATCCTCATTCTGCATCACAGGAGCGTATAGTTTTACCAACTTGAACCGTAAGACAGAGTTTGGGGCCATGGCAGCTGCTGAAAAATGAAGAGATAAATAATGGCAAAGAGAGAACCGGAGAAAAGCCCTAAATTCTATGTATAAACTCTGCCCCAAACTGTTGGCTGGTCTCTGAAGCATGAATGCACAGGAAAGATCCCAAGTAGAGCAGCCAGGTTAAAGAAATGAACTGAGATTTGAGCTGTCACCAATTGCAGGGGAGCAAGAGCTTGCAACGGGAGTTCAGCCAAATTAACAGCCAACAGGATGAAAAAAGTTCTTCAGAGAAACATATAAGAACCCAGGGTTTCTGTAATTTTTTCACCATGTGCAGGAAAAATCTAAATTACTAACATTATATAGAAAACAAAAAATATAATCTAATCACAAAAGAAAACACATCAGAGAAGACTGTCACTGAGATGCTCTAGATATTGATATGAGCAGAAAAAGATTTTAAAGAAGCTTTATAACTATGTTTAAGATTGTAAGAGAAAATGTGCTTGTAATGAAGAAAAAGACAGGAAGTCTCGGCACAGACATATAAATGATAAAAACTAAATAAAATTTCTAGAACCACAAAACATAGTAATTGAAAGAAAAAAGTTCATTGAATGGGCTAAATGGATTACTAGAGTCAGTGAACTAGAATATAGATCAAGAGAAAAAATCCAATTAATAAAAGAAAAAAATTGAAAAAAATCAACAGAGCCTCACGAACCTAACATCAAAAGGTCTAGTATATGTATAGAGAAGGAAAGAGAAAATTAGGCTGAAATACTATTTGATAAAATAAAGCAATCAGAGGGAAAATGACATTATTATACACAGGGGGAAAACAATTTGACTACTACTGATTTCTCATTGGAAACAACAGAGACCAGAAACAGTGGAAGAATGTCTTTAAAGTGCCAAAGGGGGAAAAACTGTCAACACAGAATTATGTATTCATGAAATATATTCTTTAAGAAGAAAAACAAAGACATTTTTATATAAAAGGAAACTAATTGCCAGAAGACCTGAACTGTAATAGATATCAAAGTTTTTCAGGCTGAAATGAATGATACTACAAGGAAACTTGAATCCTCAGGAAGGAATAAGAGCCTTAGAAATGATAGCATGGATAAATATGAGTATTTTTTTCTTAATTTATTTAACATAGATATAAAATAGATTAAAAAAATCGATAAAACTCCATTTTATTGTGGAGTTGATAACATATGCAATATGTAAGACCTGTGACAACTCTAAGATAACAGATAGGGAATGGGGTAAACATGCCTATAAGGATACAAAGTTTTTATATTTTATGTGTAGTGGTACAATATTAACTGTAAATAAGCTTTGCAGGGTTGCATATCTTGATATGGATTTGTTTTATACAGGTGTATGCATTTGTGAAGACATTAATTAGTACACTTAAGATTTATGCATTTTATTAAATATAAATTTTACCTAAAAAGAAAAAAAACTAAAAAAAAGATTGCTAGCTTATGATATGCAAGTTGAAGTCTTTAGGGATAAAGTGTACTGATGTCTGAAATTTAGTTTGACTTACACCAAAATAATAAGACAGATTGACTGATGAACAGAGAGAGGGGTAAATATGTGGTAAAGTGAATGCAGTAAAATTTTAATTATAGAACCTAGGTGGGAGTATATAGGCATTCTCTAAAATATTTTAACTTTTATATGTTTGAAATTTTTCAGGAGAAAATGTTGAAAAGTAATACTGCCAATCTATATTTATAATCAGGTCAGGGTGGAAAAACAAAAAAAGGAACAAGGAAAAGAAATTGGGAAAAGAAAGATACAAAAAAGGACAGATAGTCAAGCTAAAACGGAGAGGCTGAGAAAACCAAATGGTAAGTGAGAGACAGGGATGGAAAAAACAAAGGAAGATAGAAGGTTCCATTCACTGGAAAATAGACATAATACATTTATCACTACTCTTTGTCTTTTGAAAGTTTCATATGATAGTTTTGAAACTAATAAATTAGTTTTGAAGTTAAAAATTAGAATTATTTTGTCATGGAATTCAAAATTATATGCCTGTGAAAATTACGATATTTACTTTGGAATCTTAAAAATTGTTTACTACCAGTCTAAAAGTCTCTTTGACTTTCAAAAGTTGTTTGATTATCTTGTGTTTTGTCCTTGAAAATTCTGCAGTACATCTTTCAGTTGTACTTAGGGCCAGATCTGGAAGAAAGGCAGGATTTCATACCTCTAGTAGCAGTTTCTATTCTTCCCATTCCCTCCCTCTAAACTAGCAGCTAATGCTTTTCACTTAGAGACATTTCCAGGGAACTCCTGACTTACCCCATAAGTATATTTACTGTTCTATATCATTCCAAAGTTAAATGTTATAATTATGAAGTAACTGTTAATTAAAATAGACTTAATACGTTTGCTCTCCATTAAGCAGTACTTTACCCCTCACTACCCAATCTCGTAACACCTGGGAAGGCAGAGCCCATATTTAGGTATCACTAGTACCTAGCACGGAGCTTAGCACATGGAAAATCCTAGATAAATACTGAATGAATAAATAAAGAATGTTCGCTATCATTCACAATATTCCTTTCTCAATGGATTCTGAACAGAAATCACCAAGATTAGAATAGTAAGGTTTGACTAATTAATCACTTCAGATATGTTCTAATAACGTTTTGTTCTTATGTGTATAAATCTTAGATTTTAATATATTTTGCTCTCCTAAATGGTTTAAAAGACTAATTGAGACTTGACTAACCCAGTTCTAAAAATGAAGTCAAGTGATTAATTTATATTATAAAAATAAGCACCTATTTTGCATAGTAACAAATCAATACTCTTTTCAAAGTTCAAAAGAAAGAGAAGCTGGTATTGCTTTCTGTCAAAGTCATATCCAACTTTTACAAAGACAGTAATAATCTCAGATCAGGATCAAATAAATTTCAGAACTCGGTTTGAGAGAAAAAGGAAAGGCTTTAGTTAAAATCTTTACAATAAAATAATTATGATTATAAATCTCTTTAGTTAAATATGTACATGTTACATGGTATTTTAAAAAAGAATGGAAATGAATAAGGTTTTTCAGGCAAATCTAATGCACAAATATACCATCTTTTAGAGTATGTCAGTTTAACATTCTTAGACAGCTGTGTCAGACAATGGCTCTGTGTTTGTGCAAAACATGATAAGCAAAATTAAGAAAAATTCTGCAAAATTCTTTAGTTCCCCAAGGAAATTACTAAAAAAAGAAAATAGTAAAAGAAAACAAGGTTGTACACTCAAGCTTGATTGTATACAGAGGCTAGAATGACCAGCACTAATGTCACCCCCATATCTGCTAAATAGGTCCTTGGGTAGCTTTAGTTTGAAGTTAAAAGCTGAAGTCCTAACAATTGTGCTTTTATGCAGCCACATGGCCAATAAGGTAGATGTTGTCATAAAGGTGCCCTACAAAATCTTCACTAATGTTTTGAGCAGCACGACGGGTATTTCGAATAAATTCTCGTTTTGACATTTTATTCTTCACATGAGGGCTAGTGAGGTCAATGGAAAGTAGAATCAAAGAGTAGCACAGTACATAGACAGCATCTGGAAGGGAAAAGAAACACTTCAAAATGTGGTCCAAATGCATTATACAATGTAAAAGTGTTTGTAATTTTAAGAGATCAAGATTAAATCATAATTAAACACAGGATGACCAAGTCATCCCAGTTTGCCTGGGCTTTTCCCAGTTTTAGCACTGCAAGTGCTGTGTTGTGGGAAACTTAGTTCTAGGCAAACGGGGATGGTTGATCATCCTAACTGAACACCAATTCAGCGAGCATTTCGAAAGAACTTTAGAATAGTTCAGGAGTTTATAGTGAAAACTCACTCTAGATTTTAAAATTTCATAATTGGCTTTATTTTCATCTTGCTTTAAATGTGATATTCCCATTCAACTACCCATAAAATACATTTGTACTGTCAATATACTTATCTTCCCATTAAAAAGACACATTTATTTACATATGATTTTAAAAAACCCTAATTTAATTGGAAAGCATCTTTAATGACAAGAAAATGTATTAACTTGGTACTAGAAAATAAAATGTAAACAACTCATAAAATTATTAAATTAATATTATTTGAGATGTGTATTTTAAAGATCTATGAGATTTATATATTAATCTCCAAAGTAAATCTTTTGGGAAAAGATTGCTAAAGTTGAGTACTATGCAACAAAAAGATTTCTTCTTTATATATCTACTCAGGGCAACAGTCGATGTTAACTATTAAAATAGTAACAAACCTCATGATACTTGCTACTACTACTTACTATGAGTGCTTGCTACTACTATGGTATTTATATTTCAGAATCCTGCAGTCTTGATAAAGCTAATTATACATTATGTCTTGTAAAGGCATGTTCAAAAAATTTCGAATGATAGGTAAATGTTTTGTAATCTCTGCTTAGTAAGATAAGCACAATAAAATTTTTGATATGAAGAGATAAAGCTATATCATGAAAAAATATGTAACAGGCTATATTACACATATACATAAAGACATACACAAACAATGAACACTAGTTATATTAAAAACACATTTTAGAAAAATTCTAGGTGTTACCTATGTAATATGTGGATTATTAAAAGCTTTAAAAATAATTTCTCAAGTTTTTAGTTAGACTAGTAAAAATATCCAATGCTCAAACAATAATTTTAAAGAATTTTTATAGCTATCTTTCTTCTTAAACAGTACATTTACTATATCTAAATGATAGTTATGACAAACTAAAGTAGTCACCACTATGAGCAGTAAAACAGGTATTTGTAATTTTTCCCCATGGTGAGAAAAATGCCTCATAAACTACTACCTGGAGGTGAGAGTGAGAGAAGGAAGGAAGGAATTCACTGTCTATGTATGTTCTTACCAGGACTAAGGCCAAGTTCTCTCATTAAGTCAGGGTTACAAGCACAGAATCTATGTGAGAACTTTGTTATAAGAGTTTCAAGATATTCCCCACGCTCTTCGGGAGCGTGGATATGACGAAAAAATTCTCTCAGTGCATTGGGCAAGAATTGATTTCTAAAATTATGCAGTGTTACGAGGTCATCCAAGACATCTCTCCTATTAGAAAAAGAAAAAGACACAGCTTTAGTTAACTTTTCTCTATTAACTGTCATGGTTTTGGATGAAAATACTTTATTATTGATTACCAGATCAGTTAATCCTATAAAATATATGTAATTCTTGAAATTAAAAAAATCTAAATATGATTATTTAAGAAATTAAGTAATTCAAAAATATTTCATGATTAACAAAACAAGGTGAAACTAGTAATTCTAATTATAAAATGAAAAAATGAAATTTTCAGTATTAAAAAGGACAGCTTCTTTTTAAATGTCTTAGCTAAATCCTAATAAGCAACAGAATTCTTTATTTTTTTTTAATTATGAAAATAAGGAGAATCTTCAACTTCCAAACCAATCCACATCACCAGAGGTAACTGTTTATGCAGACTTTTAAAAATGTCTACATACACTATATAATGTTCTAGAATTTTCTTTTGTTTATTTTATATAGTATATTGTGAACAGCTTTCTATGTCTTTACACATAGATTTAACATCATTTCTTTTAAGGGCTTCGACCTCCTCAGAAAGATTTGGTTTTGATTTGCTATTACAAAGATGTTGGGCTTCCATTGTGTGTGTGTGTGTGACCTTTTTTTACTTTTATTATGGGAACTTCCTTATCAGCAAGTTAAAGCTACCAAAAGAAATGACTTGTAAAATACAGGACTCCTTTCCCTATCTTTATTTAATTTTGCAATTAGATAAGTGCTATGTAGTATAGTTTTTAAAGTAAAACTTAATTCATTAAAAGCATTACTTAACTCATTTCTGATGAAAATTTTAATTTTTTTTACCTTTCGTCAAGATAGATTCTTAATTTTTTCCAATTTAGTGTTCTTGTACAGAAGATAAACTTTGCTATTTCCTTTGGTGAATCATCTAGGATACCCTTGGACATAAAGTAGTTCACTCCCTAAAGCAGAAAGACAAATCTCATAAATCAAATTAGTCTTTATTTATAAAATTAACAATTAGGCAATAGCAGAACAATAGCCATATAGTCTTTCCAGCATTAATAGACTTTTTATAGCTTTAACATGCAAAATACAAGCTAGAACTCAAACTGAAACTATTATTTGTGGTTGATAGTTTACATGCAATGAAAAGTAGGAAATTCAAAGTTAAGACTCCTAAAGAAATCATAATTCAATTTACTGGCTCATGTCAGTTAAAACTAACTATACAGAAATATAACCTAATGGAAGAATGGCGGGGAGTGGTGGCGGGGAAGGGGAGAGGTGAAGAGGGAGAAACTACCACATAGACTTTAAAATAAGCTTTATAACAAACACTTCTGCTGCTTGACAGAAAATATGATTTCTTAAAGCTCAGATACACAATCTAATACACTTTTCAAGGAATTATGTTCTTGAGAAAATAAGATTCTTCAAGTGAAAGACTAAGAACTTTATTCTGAAAAGAAAAATAATTATTTAACTTAAAGTGGGCACAATTCCAGGCCAGTTTATGGGCTGTACACCCTTTGGCTTTAAGCACTGCCATATTCTACAAAAATTTAGCTCCAATACACACTTAGGCAAAACATAAGACAAAACAATTTCAATGTTCTTCATAGGATTTATCTTTGAATTTCCTTTTCTCTGCATGCAAAGTTTTCCAGAGAAGCATTAGTTTGTACCTACTTTAGATTTAAATCAACAACAACAAAACATCAACAAAAAAAATCAAACGCTGAAACCAATGTTCTTTCAAGTATATAGAGGGCACATTCAAATAACTGCCTTATGTGGATTTGAATGTGCTTTTATTGAAATAAAAGGCAGGTGTGTTTATTTCAACTCACAGTTATCCAGATAAATGCATTCCTACAAATGCTTATGTCTGGATAATAGCACACTGTGTGCAGTTAATTGGTAGAGAAAATGACGTATTATATACACCCGGCATACTGCTTTCACACATAAATTCCTTCAGCATTTCTTCCCTTTACAAACACTTACATAGTACTTGGAAATATTGCACACATTAAGAATACCAAAAGTTGTAAGAATTTTTATAAAAGACCCTTAAAACACTTTCATAAAATTTTTATATTAAAAAGGCATAAAGTAATTTGGTACCATGAGGTAATGCTTTTGAAAGGTTATAATTATCTGTAAATTGTAACTCAAAGATAAGATTTTTTATATAAAACTAATTGGATGAGCCATCAAGATAACATCCTATTAGCAATGCTATCAAATTCTCATGTGAATTTTAATAATATAAAAACAATCCTAAAGCACTGCTTTTTAAAAAATATATATAAAGAAGAATAGAATGTGATATCATGAAACTTTCTTGTCAACTCAATTGTAAGCCTTGCATCCTGGATACAAGGCTAGAGAATGTAACATGATCAAGATGGAAAGCCAAAGAATTTGTTTGGAATGAGGCTCTCAGCAATTGTCTGAGGGGGCAGGAACTAGAGATATAGGAATGCTTGTTCCATCCTTTCCTCCATTAGTTTGAAAAATCGAGAGTTGACTGTATATTTAATTGATCTACTGAGCAAAAATTAAGTTGGGTTTGATTTTTTCTAAAATTCCTGCATTTAAAAGAATAATCGTATATCAGAAGTATTTCCAGTGCTTAATTTTAATCCAGGTGAATCAAAAACAAAGGAGTGTCAATTAAATATTATTTAATAAGTTCATTATTCACACCTACTTATAAATCAATATTTAAGATATAAAACTAATTCTAATCTACTTTTAAAAATTATATAAAATATAAACCACTACTATGATCCATTAATTAATATGTAAATCTCTAATTATACGATATATGCCATGTTAATATCATTTGATGCTCCTTAGTTATAAATTAACATTGGTATTTGCCTCATGTAAGCATCATAAAAGTATACTGTTGGTCATTCCCTTTTTTATGGAATACATATTTTGAGAATTTAATATCTAACCTAACTTGTCCAGGCTTGACATATGGAAAAGCAGTAGAGATGCAAAGGAAATAATCTATTCTAAACACATGAAAAAACCCTCATATGCTACATTTATGAAAGTGAGAAGAGCAGTTGTTAATATGCTGGCTATCAAGACAAGGGATAGTCCAAGTGAAAGACAAAGATAGTTGAGGCTTCTGGCTTAGAAGCAGAAAGAAAGAAATGAGAGAAAAAAATGATTGATAGAAAAAAAACACAGGTTATAGGGGGCGTTGATTTGAAGGAAACAGTAGTGTGTTGACCTTACAAATGTTTAATTTCAGGTGATGATAGATACAACCAGAAAGGAAAAGCAGGCAGTTGGCAATGTAATAAGATATCGAGAAAAAAGTGAGGGTTGAAGGTACAGATTAAGGAACTCGAATAAGAAATCAGTGAGGGAGCAGGTAATGAAGAGGACAGAAACAGAAGCTCCCAGAGGCTAAGAGCCTTTGAAATTTAAAAAAAAGTATACAATGCAATTGCATATTATAGTTGAAGGAGCATAATTTTCAGAAAAGGGAGCAAATCATGGCTCTGCCACCTAACAATTATCTGAACACGAACAATTTACCCAACCTTTTAAGCCTTGGTTTCCTAATCAGTAAAAATTTTAGAAGGCTATTGTGAAGACATGAAGTGCCTAGCAAATAACCTGGCTAGTTTCCTTTATCTTATAGATAGCTCAAGGAGACAAAAAGATGGGCAAAGAGGGCACTGAATCTGATAATTGAGAGAAAAGAAAATAGGGACTTTCAAGAGGCAGTGGGGAGTAGTGGGGATTCCAAGGAGAAAGGAAGGGGCTCAAGGTAAGGACACAGTATAGACCACTCCACTGAAATATGTATTAGTACTGAGGAGGAAAAATAATGGCAAAATTAAAGGGCAAAAGGTAAAATAAAATTTTTCCAAGATAATTTTGACCTGTGTCATGTCAGAAAACAAAAGAGCATCACTGGAGAGAGAAAAAGAGAGAAAGAGGAGATAATGGGAGCGCAAGGTAAAGCGGGGCAAGGAAAAGGACTGAAAATACAGGTGAGTTTACAGTGCTTTCTAAGGCTGGAGGACAGGACAGCGCTACTCGTTCAGAGACTGGTGTATTAGGAAACTGATAAAAGTAGAAAGAGTGCATGTTGGTTTTCTTCTTAGGGAGGACAAACCATCTAGAGAGAGTTGGAAAATACCTGATTTGAATCCTCAAGCAAAATGGTAAAGATTTCTATCAACAACATTGCAGGAGAGAACAGGGAATCCATGAGGAATAATAAAAGGAGAGCCAAGCAGCATTGAGAGCCCAGGTAAAGTTGATATGAATTCATCCCATTTCACGTTAGGTTTCTCTTTAATACATCAGATGTTTTCAGTAAGTCAAGAAAGAAAAAAATCAAGAAATTTTGTAGTGCAGTGTCCATAGAGTATGCCACAAAATTTGTTATGCAGATGATAGCACCGAGACTTCATATGATCAAATTAAGAGTGGTGAGCTGTTTTGATGCAATTTGTTGTGGTTGCAAACACAAATAATTCAAGAAAACATAAATAAATAGCTAAAACCAATATTAAGAAGAAATTTAGAATGAAGAAAAAGATGACCTTAGTCACCTATATATAATGTATCTCTCCATTTACTCATTACTGTAAGAATGGCTCTTTCCACATAATTCATGTTTAAGATATAGCTACTTTGTTTTCTCCTATTACATAAATACCCGTGTTTTCTCTCCTCTTTTAACAAAACCTATTTTTAAAAAATCAAATCACTATTACTCACAGTGTGTTTCAAAAGCAAAATCTGCCATATATATGATCAGAACCAAAAATATATAAATTTGGGAACAGAGTGAACTCTAGAAAACTAGGCATGCAAAGCCAAATGAAAAAGTACTGATTTTCACTGTGAACCTAAAACTACTCTAAAAAAAGAAAAAATTAAAGTATCAATTTTAAAAAAAGTACTGACTGTTGGTACTCAAAGTACTGGCTATTGGCACAGGCACTTGGCAGAAACATTGTGTAACAGTTGGTCAAAAGAAGAAATCATTAATAAAACAAAACTGTGACATACATACAAAATCACTAATAAAACAAAACTGTACCCTTAATTTTTTTTCCTAAAGAACAGCTTAGAAAAGAAATTTAATAAACATTTTGATCTACGTAGTTTTGTTCAAATTTGCCTTTGCATACAATGTAAAAAGCCAGTACTGTGCCTACAACATTCAGGCAATAAACCTGTCCTTAGAGCACTGTATAATAGAAAGCAAACTGGACACTGTATATAATTTTCTCTTTAAAAGAAAATTTGAAGACTTTCAAAATAACAATCCTTAAACTTTAATAATATTTATAAAACAAAGCAGTTCAATTTAGATTTCTAATTTTTCTTTCATTAGATGTGATATTAATATTCAAGTATACATTTTAACCACAGTGAAATGAACAACTGAAATGTAACATTTTCATACTAAAAGTAATGTAAAAATTAGGAGATAAAATGTTGTAAAAACTTTTACTTTCTTAATTATTTCTAATAAACAATTAACGCATCAGAGGACAGCTTTCTACAGGTCATCTGAAAGTACTGCCATCCATTGTCTTGTTTAGAAATAACAGTATCAATTGTTAACATAACTTTTGATACGATTTCTTCTTTTTTATAGTGCTTTCAGAATTGCTAAGAAAAATGTAAGACCTATTAATTTTTATTCAGCCCAGCAATTCTCATTCTCTCTATTTAATCATAGAACATGTGGTCCCTAGGTAAGGGAAAAAAATGCATAGAATTTGAATAGGTAAAATTCATCTAGAGACATGTATTCTGCAAATGAAAATTAACACCTTGCTTTTTAGCTGAAGTGAAATAAATGCAGATTTAAAAATGGGCAAGTATAAGACTAGGTATCTATTTTTTTTATCCTGTCATCTTATTTCATTCTGCCCGCTAGCTTTTATGATGTTTTCTTCCTTAA